ATTACCCGTCTAGGGGGGGTAAAAAGGACCCAAACATCACTAATAATTATTCACAACTTGAATCGTGTTGAGAGCGACTCACCTGTTTGATGTTTTGTCTGTCAGACGGAGGAATCATCTCTGGGGACAGATTCTGTGGAGGGTCTAAGCCTTTGGTCAGTTTCAGATTAATTAGATAAAGCGCCAATGCGAACTGCTCTCGCGTCAGTTTCCCTATGTCTCCAATGTCACAGAGCTCCCTGAGGGGGAGGAAAAAATCAAAAGCACACGTTACATAAGACAGTAACGATTTATACTTCAGGCAGTGCCTATTTTTGATGGCCAGGCTAATCATTATGTGAGGGAAACCAATACACACAGAAGCTAATCAGCCACATGAAGAAAAAAATCCATAATGAGATCATCTGCTGGTCGTGTGCATGAACACATGCAACATTCAATTATAGTGAAACTAGAATATGTTTTTACATTTCACTTATTATAAACAAGATTGATAATAAAGTGTAAAAACGAATGTTTCACAGATGTTTTATGAAGATTGTATCTATTCTAACCATCTATGCTATTGTTAAAACGCATAAGCACCTTATTTTCCAACACTATTATTTCTCTCTAGTGTAAAATAACTATTTATCTACTGCAAATCCTCCTTTGTAGCACTTCATGAAGTTTCTTCCTCTTTTTTCCTTCATTTGTGTGAACAGAAGGGCAAAGTGCACAGGATGCCTTATGTTGCACACATTGCAAAGCTCTCTGAGGTAAACACATAAAATAAAGTAACTGATTCTTTGAGGAGAAGCTGGACAGAGGAGTCAAAGGAGGAGATTTTCGTGACGATACTTACCAAATCCGTGCGAGTGTAGCGGAGGGCAGCCCGGTCTTGAGGAATATATCTCTGACTTCAGGGCCAGACACCAAGCCGTCCATGTCGCCGTCCGTCTTGTTGAACAGCTCGTCGAATTTCGCCTTCTCTGCTGGCGATACTACCCACTGTACAGAGAGAGAAAGACTTAACCACACTCCTCACCACCGCAGGAACACTCAGAACAACTTACAGCGACGAGAGATTCACAAACCTTCGCACTTCCTCTAGTCTTTTTCTTTTGAAAAACACACTGAACTAGCCAGTTTGAAATCATTGTAACTGTTGATGTAGTGTAGTAGTAAAATAATACTTCTCAGGCACTGCACTCACAGGAGAGGTGGAGCCTGTACTCACAGGGGCAGCTGCTGGTGCTGGGACAGGGGCAGGAGCTGGGGTGGGTTTAGGAGGGTGGGGCATAGTCTTAGAGCCAGCGTGGGAGGAGCGACTGTCTTTGACAGAGGGGGGCGAGGGTAACAGGGGCATCACGGGAGGCACCGAAGGTTTTTTCCTCTTGGAGGGTGGCACCAGGGGAGGCGGTAGGGACATGGGAACAGGCTCCCCCTCTAGCGCTCTGTACACCAGATACATAGCCTGGGAAAGGGCAACAAAGTAATGAGAAATGATTACCCAGCATCCTGCAGCTCAGTCTTCACACTTCCTCCTCATGTCTCGGATCTTTTCGATTCAGAACTATAGAAATAATTTAAGATCCTATGACTCAGTACACAGTTGAACAACCTAAAG